ACAAACTGAGGGTTGCTGAGGGGAGGTGGAGAGGGGGGAATGGGTTAAATAGGTGATGGGCATTAAGGAGGGCTCTTGTTGTGATGAGCACCAGGTGTTGTACGCAAACGTCGAGTCACTAAATTCTACACCTGAAACTAATATTACACTATGTTAACTAACTAGAATTTAAATAAAAACTTAAAAAAGTAACAAAAATGAATACAAAATAAAAGGGAAAGATGAGGAAAAACAAAAAGCCTTGATACTCAGAATGGATTATGTAAAAAAATTAACCCAGAAAGGATTTAGCATACCTTAAAAGGAAAAACACCCTCCTTACATTTCTGATTTCAAGCGCACCACAAAAAAAAAGCCTGATAATGAATTTGTCACAATGAATGTTCTCTTGAGAAAGACTGTTTAGTTGAAAGCTTTGCATGTTGTTGAAAGGGCAGAAATCCTTCGACATCAGCTATGGGGTTCACAAATCAGGGTTCTATAAGCCTGGGCGCACTGTGACCCCAGAGAACTTGCCCCTTCAGTGCCAGGCATTCACTGATACCCTTACCACAGCCAGCTGGAACGTCTTAGAGACCCAAGATAAGTCACTTTGCTGAACTGCAAATGCTGACTGAGACAGCATTAAGATACATTACTTATTTATAACTTTTAGATTGAAATTTTTTTTTCCTTAGGAGGGGATCTCAAGTCTGATAGAAATGGGGTCTAAAAAGAGAGAGAAAACAAGCAAAGAGTATTACAGGGATGGAAGGAAAATTCCACCAGGAGAGAGGGAGGATGAAAGCACTGTAATGATGTAAAACTGAAGAAAAGGTAGCTCTAATCACTATTTTGTACCAGGTAGGTCCATCAGTCCACCAAATTGGCAATTACATGGAATTCTCAGATGCTCAAAAATAGCACCTGTCCTTCACTCTGAGTTTTCATTCTTTTCCTATGATAGTAATATATCAGCATAAAAAGTTTTGAAAACCATCATAATCATAATGCCTGAGTATTATTTTCATTTTGGGGTAATTCCTTTCAGTCTCAATACATTTTTATCTCCTTAACAGTTATAAACAAAATATAAATAAAACTTTATATTCTGTTTTTTTTGCTTAATATGTCACATGTATTCTTTATTTTATAATGAAGTATTTATCATTTTTAATGGCTGAGTAATATTCTGAGCTAATATAATTTATGCACCCACTCTCCTACTGTTAGACATCTAAATTGATTCCTATCTTTTACTATTAAAAATACCATTTTGAGAAGTAATTTTCCCAAAGACATATCAATATTATTGAACTATTAATACCGAAAATACTTCCCACTGAGAACTGTCCTATCCACCCATGGGAGTAATACCTATGGTCATATTTGTAACTTTATTTGGACCCTGACCCTTGCCCCAGCTGACTGGACTACAGAGAACACCTGACTCAAGCTAAGCCAATTAGTATTTCTCTTTCAGAAATATAAAAAGTGTATCACTGGTGGCTCTGGAGCTAGGGAAGCCATTTTCCACTGTGCGTATAGATGACAGCCAAGAGCTTTCGTAGAGCCCGGTTTTTTTGTACAAGACAGGGACAAAGATTCTCAGAGGACTATAACAGACTACTTACCAAATTGATTGTACTTTCTGTTCCTAGCCCAACAAATAATGATGACGCCAGCAGCTGCTTTTCTTTCTCCTCTTTAGATTGGGTAAGGACTTGAGACTGATCCTTTTTAATTATAGTTTGGTCTACATTCTCCATTATTATACTCTCTTGAGGAACAGGCGGAACTTCAGTTTCATCCCCAGTTTTGCCTTCTTTCTTGGGAAGATAGCCCTCTTTCCCCCATAATTTCTTTATACCTTCCAGCTTCAAGCTATTTGTCCTAAGGAGATTAATAATGAAATCAAGTCAACTTAAATAACTGCTGCTTAAATAACTTACTTTTGAGGCATTTTTAAAAACACATCATTGCCATGACCTCTTAAAAACAGCTTTCGTATTATATACTCTATGTCAGGAAGTAAAACCTAGATCCCATGATGTTATTTTAGTTTCATCCAATGTCCCCACACCCTCCAGCTAAAGGATTTAAGGCACTAGAACCCTAGACTTAGTTAAAAATTTCAGATCACTTAATTGCTTGAATAAGTTGTCCAAATCAAAACTACTATAAATTAGCTCCTTTCCTCCACTGACTTTTCAAAAATACCTTTAATTCTGAGGAGTTAAAGATCAGAAATGACTCTTAATAAGTTTCTTGGCTATAACCACCCAATAAATTCATTAAATAAAATCCTGTTGAAAGCAAAAAAAAAACCCAACAAATCATTCAAATCCACTCCTTTGACTTAATCCAAAAAGTTTTCTTAATGTGAACTCTAGCTACATAGTCAACTATTATAAATGTAATTTTATTAAAATGAATGAGGTTTGGGGTGCCCTGGGTGGCTCAGTTGGTTAAGCGTCCGACTTCAGCTCAGGTCATGACCTCACGGGTTCGTGGGTTTGAGCCCGGCACTGGACTCTGTGCTAACAGCTCAGAGCCTGGAGCCTGCTTCGGATTCTGTGTCTCCTTCTCTCTCTGCCCCTCCCCTGCTTGCGCGCTCTGTCTCAAAAATAAATAAACATTTAAAAAAATTTTTTTTTAATTTTTTTATTTTTGAGACAGAGAGAGAGCATGAGCAGTGGAGGGGCAGAGAGGGAGGGAGACACAGAATCCAAAGCAGGCTCCAGGCTCTGAGGTGTCAGTATAGAGCCCAATGTGGGGCTTGAACTCATGGAGTGTGAGATCATGACCTGAGCCAAAGTCGGACGCCCAACTGACTGAGCCACCCAGGCACCCCCCCAAAAAATTTTTTTAATGAAATGAGGTTTGATCTGTAAGAGAAAAAAGATTTTTTTGAAAAAGCATGAAGATTATGAGCCTTTTTACTGGAGATGGAAGAACTTAAAGTCATGATTAGAGTTTGGACTCACCTACTGCTGTCCCAAAAGTTATTACATCTGTGACTCTGTACTAAGATAATCACCAAGGACAGGCTGAAACAGCCAAAGTTAACCTTGATTGTTTTTGTTTAAGAACCACGTCTCCTTTGCTCTTGGATCATTGAAGCATCCCTGTCATGGCCCAATATAGCATTTTAACATTTGTACTACAAAACAGATCATAAAATGAATCTAAAAGAAAAACTCAGAATCATCTGTACAAGTTATTATTCCTTTCTAATTTGTTGGACTCATGATCAATTTGATTTTCTATATATGCCAAAAACATAGACAGGTGGTCACACTTCATACTGAGTGAAGAACTAATACTATTAAATAGTAATTGGCTGAGGGGCGCCTGGGTGGCTCAGTCGGTTAAGCAGCCAACTTCGGCTCAGGTCATGATCTCGCGGTCCGTGAGTTCGAGCCCCGCGTCGGGCTCTGTGCTGACAGCTCAGAGCCTGGAGCCTGTTTCCGATTCTGTGTCTCCCTCTCTCTGACCCTCCCCTGTTCATGCTCTGTCTCTCTCTGTCTCAAAAATAAATAAACGTTAAAAAAAAAAATTTTTTTAAAAAATAGTAATTGGCTGAAAGAAAATTTGAGTGTTAATAAAGAATGCCCTATGGGGAATTAGTCTAATCCTCCACAATGAATTTTACTGCTAAATTTTCCTTTTATGAATACCTTCATTTCTCCCTTTCTTTCATGTACCAAAAAAGCCTTCTAAAAAGTTTTTTTAAAAATAAAGCTATTATTTATCCACCAGACCTCTTAGAAGAAAACTGGCTGTCTTTGTAAGAGCGGATCCAAAAGTGGTCATGGGAACCACTAAAATGACCCCTAGCATCTCTAGGATGCTCAACAACAGGAACTCAAAGGGATTCATAAATTCCCAGTGTTTCTGTAACCCTATTTATCAAAAAATATCCTTTAATTATTAAGGAAAAAGGGCAACTCTCCAAGTTTTACTAGTAAATGATTTAAATATCAGTTTAACAACAACAACAAAAAAAAGCAAGTATGGTAGACCCTGGGATGCTCCATCCAGATCATCCTTCAATAAAGGACTTGTTGCCCCAACTGTTGGGAGTACAGTCCTCTCTAGGATTGCCTCAGATGCAAAGAGTCACCTCGCCTGAGATCACACCCCTTCCCAGGGAAGCCCAAACCCAGTGACTGTGGGACAGAAGTCCTGGCCACAGTCCTGGCCACCCATTTGGGTCCAACTCAGGTCAACTCTGAAGAAGGGCCACTCTAACTTCAGAGCTCCTCATGGGATCAGCAGAGGCTGCTGTTGGCACCGCATTGCATCTTAACTTCCTCCTCTGCTCAAACCTGCTTCTTTCTCCTTCCTTCCATAGGTGTTGATCACAAGGGCACTGCCTTAATATTCTGCATGCGTAACTCCATCATGGAATGCACTTGCCAGGGAATCCAATCCACAACAACAGACAAAATAGAAGAGGAAAAATAAGCCTAAAAGGAGCCTCAAACTACTTTAAAGATTTTCTTGCATATTTCATCTGCATACATGCCTATTATCAACATAAATTTTGTCATGCATTACATATCAAAAGTCTAAAAAGTAGGAAAAATGAATAAAAGCACAAAATATGCTTCTTTATACGAAACCTACTGAAAAAGAATTGTTTTAAACATGCATCATCTTTGCCTGGATTTTAACAATAATAATATAATTCATGATATTATGTGGCATATATACTTTTGTATTGTTTTTAATCAGATTGTTCAAACAAAGATGTAAATTCTGGCCAAGCAACCTTCAAAAGATTAGGGATACACTTTAACTCAGCTCTAGAAATCCCCATTTGAGATAGTCCCAAATAGGGCTTAAGGTAAGAAATTATAAACTGGGCTTTCTACTACTTTATTCTCAGCTTGCCAGAGATTGGACAAGAGTGACTGTCTCCTCCTAAAGCCTTGTCAATTACCATACAGGTTCCCAATCTGAAATGATGTGTGAGCTGTAGTCCTCCTGGGAAAGAAACTTAAAATTCATCCCTCATGTCCCATTTCATGATAAAACAGCAAGTGTATAATTCCTTAGCAGCTCTGCCAAATGTCATTTTTCTGAGAAGTACATGTAAATATACAGGATTTACAAGGCCCTGTCAAGTCTCCCAGATCTTAGTTCAGTACTAAACAAACAGACGCTGTCACCTGTTGTGCAGGTAAAAGAGACTGTTTCCTCCCTGGGTTTGGAGGGTTTCTATCCTCTCCTTTCCTTATCCCGCAATTCTCTGTTCAGGGCACTTAACTGCTGTCACCACTACCATCAAATGCTCACAAATCATATCTGTTCCCCATGCTTGGAATACCAAAATTAAATGTCTGGGAAAGAAAAGGGTGTCAACAGAGAATGAAAAAGAGGCTAAGAAAGAGAATTTCATTCAGCATATCACCCTACATTCCTCATAATCTATGTGTCATTTTTCTGATAAGTACTTCTCATAACCATCATGCTGGAAGACTGACAAATGCAAAAATGGACATATAATAAGCTGACTCCATAATGAACATATGAGGACTCAAAATTCAAATTTCATCTTTTAAAGTTGTCACTTTTGAAATTTTATTACATTTATTCCAACAAAGCTGCCATTACTCAAAACATTTTTTAATAAGCACAGAATAGTATATGGAGTGTTGAATCACTATACTGTACACCAGAAACGAATACAACACTGTATATTAACTACACTGGAATAAAATTTAAAAAAAGATTTTTTAAATCTTTTAGAAGCTCCTTCACAAACAAGGAAGCCATTTTCATTACTTTATGTCACATCAATATATTGACCAGTTATCCAGATAGATCACTAATTTCATTTGGTTAACTCAGCTTTTGGATAATGACAACTATGGCAATGACAATCACTATTAATAATAGCAGTTATCATTTACCATGCACTACATTTTATGAGGCACCTTATATATATTATCTCACTTTTTTAACTTAGTCATGTTTCTAAAAGTAATTTATTATATTTCGAAAACCAAAATCTACTTAAAATGGTTGAAGATTTGGCTCCACATAAGACATTTAGATAAATGTCTTCACCAATTCTCCAGGTAGCTGGAAAGAAGCTCTGAAAGCATTTTGAGCAAAGTATACATTTACTTAAATGAAGTCAGTCATCTTATTTTATGTTCATCTCTCTGTCAATCTTCCAATGAAACAGTTTATAAGAAGATTATGAGGAATGTAGAGTAATATGCTCATATTCACCTGTGTATGTAAGTTCTCACATATTTCTTTAACAAATGTATGTGTATACATGTGTGCATATATATATATGTGTGTATAATACACATACAAACATACATACATACATACACATACAATATGCAGTAATAACACACACGTCATTACTGTGTATAAAGCCTATGTACACTATTTTGTGTTGAAGGTAAGCAAGCTCTCTTAAAAGTTCTCTTGTACAGGGGCACTTGGGTGGCTCAGTCGGTTGAGAGTCTGACTCCGGCTCAGGTCACAATCTCACGGTTCAAGAGTTTGAGCCCTGTATCAGGCTCTGTGCTGACAGTGCCTGCTTCAGATTCTGTGTCTCCCTCGCTCTCTGCCCCTACCCCACTTGTGCTCTCTCAAAAATAAATAAAAAACATTAAAAAATAAATAAATAAAATAAAAGTTCTCTTGTACAACATCAACACCTTGAAAGCAATAAATAGGAAAAACTGAAACAAGAGGCTATGCAGAATTTAGCTTTCAGATATCCTTCCACATTTAAAAATATTTAAATACTCCTCTATATTCTCAGTTTTATCAAGAAAGAACTTACTCTTTCAGCCCAGTCTCTGCACTATTCCCAGATATATCTGAACCAAGAGAAATGCCAGCAGGAGACTGTCGTCCAGTGAAGCCAGATGAAGAAAATGAAAGTCCATATGGTTCAAAATTGAGAACTAGAATTTTAAAACAATAACAGAAGTTCATATTTAAAACAAAGCAAAAGTTAGGGGGGAGAAAGCAGATGTTATCAAAATTACCAGTCACTACTGAAATAAAATAATGGAAGACTAGAATCCAATGACAATTTTTAAACTGGAAGGGGCACTGAAGATGATTTAATCAAATAATAATAAAGTAGCTATGATTTACTGAAGGTCTACTACAGTCTTCACACTATTAGTTGAGAAAAGACAAACAGTACTTCATTTTTATCTTTTCACCTCCCTGAGAAGCTAAACTAGGATCCAATTAGGAAAGACAACTGATAAACCAGGTCTACTGAAAATTGCTGCTCCCAGACAAAAATGTTTAATGAGCTATGAATGAAGAGATAGTGTTTTTCCTTAACAAAATGTTCTTAAGCACATTCCTATGCCAAATAGACTAATGGACCCTTCAAAGTGAAATATCCCTTACTGACAAAGAACAAGGTTTATTCAGATTCAGATTCCTTTGACTCTGTATACCCAAATGAATTCAATCAGAGCCATAAAAATTCATACTGATATTGTGGTGGAGCAGATGCCAATATCCATTCTCCTCTTCTTTCTAAGTAATAGAACCCTGGATTCTAAGTAATAGAACCCTGGATTCATGGCAACCCAGAAAGAAATGACATTTCCAGACTCCTTTGCCATGAATTTGAGTTCTGGCCAATGAAATTATGCACACATTCTGAGCACAACTTCTGGGAGGAATCTTCCTGGAAAAAAAAAAAAAATCTTTCTTCTCTCCCTTTCCTCCTTTACATTCATGAAGCCATTATCAATCCCAGGCTGCCTACTTCTGGAATTCCTTTAAGGGAAAGAGCAGTAATCTTCTGTCTTGTATAAGACCCTATATTGTTCTTTTGTTTTCTAATATGCTATGCAGCTATACCTAATCCTAACTGGCATTATTTATCTTTATGGACTGTCTGGATTATAACATAAAGGACCTCCTTAAATCATAAAAAAGTGCCGTATAAAAAATAAATGTGAGCTTCTGTAATTATTATTTTCATCTTACAAATACAGAAACTGTAGCAAAGTTTGCCATGAACTTAACCAAGATTACAAAAACAGGAAAAATGATAGAGCCAGATAAGAAATCGGATACTCTGGTGCTAGAGCTCACTCTCCACTGCCTCCTGCAAAGGAAACAGCATTTAATCCAAAGAGAACTACATAAATTTTTGTTGTTACCCAAATGAATGATATAGAAGAGAAATCAATGTGCAATAGACAAAAATAATGGGCTAATCAGTAATCAGAAGAACTGAGTTCTTGACATGCATCGGGTATTAAATGGGTGCATGAACTTGACCTTAATTTCTTTGTCTGTAAAGTGAAGGGTTCAGGCTTGATCAGCAGTTTCCAAATGCTGATTTGATAACCAGGATCAAGCTGACTGTGTAGAATCTCCCACAGACCTTTTTGTACATACAGCCAAGCTTTTACAGATTCAGATACAAAAGATACAGGAGTACGGCGCAAAAATCTGTATCATTTTGTAAAACTCTTTGTGATTCTGATTCATAACCATGTTTGGAAACCACTTGTCTAAACATTCCAAGGTCATTTTCAGCTAGAAAATCCTCTCATTTTAAGCTTTTCAGGGGCACCTAGGTGGCTCAGCTGGTTAAGTGTCCAACTCTTGGTTTCAGCTCAGGTCATGATCTCACATTTTGTGAGTTCAAGCCCCACATCAGGCTCTGTGCTAACAGTGCAGAGCCTGCTTGGGATTCTCTCTCTCCCTCTCTCTCTCTGTCCCTCCCCCAGTGACTCTGTCTCTCTCAAACAAATAAACTTAAAAAAAACTAAGCTCTTTTTTTCTTTTTTCCTTCCTCTCCCCCGTGGGTTTCTGTTAAGTTTCTCAGGATCAACATAAGAGTGAAAAGATATGGTATCTGTCTTTCTCTGTATGGCTTATTTCACTTAGCATCACACTCTCCAGTTCCATCCACGCTACAAGGGCATTATATTTCGCTCTTTCATTGCTAAGGTAGTAATTCCATTGTGTATATAAACCACAATTTCTTTATCCATTCATCAAGCTTGATGGACATTAGGCTCCATAATTTCTGGCTATTGCTGAGAGTGCTGCCATAAACATTAATAGTGCCCTCTATGCATCAGTACTCCTTGTATCCCTTTGGGTAAATCTCAGTGCAGTGCTATTGCTGGGTCATAGGGTAGGTCTGTTTAATTCTTTTCTGAGGAACCCCTCCACACTGTTTTCCAGGAGTGGTTGCACCAGCTCTGTATTCCCACCAACAGTGCAAGAGGGTTCCCATTTCTCTCCGCCATCCTCGGCCAGCATCTATAGTCTCCTGATTTGTTCATTTTGGCCACTCTGACTGGCGTGAGGTGATATCTGAGTGTGGTTTTGATTTGTATTTCCTGATAAGGAGCGACGTTGAGCATTCATGTGCCTTGTTGGCTAACCGATGTCTTCTTTAGGAGAAGTGTCTATTCATGTTTTCTGCCCATTTCTTCACTGGGTTATTTGTTTTTCTCGGGTGGAGTTTGGTGAGCTCTGTATAGATTTTGATACTAGCCCTTGTCCTGGGAGTATGTCATTTGCAAATATCTTTTCCATTCAGTTGGTTGCCTTCTTTAGTTTTGTTGGTTGCTCTTTGCTGTGCAGAAGCTTTTATCTTCATAAGGTCCTATAATTCATTTTGCTTTTTAATTCCCCTTTGCTCTGGGAATGTGTCGAGTAAGAGATTGCTATGGCTGAGGTCAGAGAGGTCTTTTCCTGCTTTCTCCTCTAGGGTTTTGATGGTTAGAGTGGGAGAGAACCAAAGCATAAGAGACTCTTAAAAACTGAGAACAAACTGAGGGTTGATGGGGGGGTGGAGTGAGGAGGTGGGTGATGGGCATTGAGGAGGGCACCTTTTGGGATGAGCACTAGGTGTTGTATGGAAACCAATTTGACAATAAATTTCATATATTGAAAAAAAAAATCTAAGATTTCAATCACCGAGTTTAACTTTCTGTCCCACTTTCAACTCTTTAATAGCATCTGTGACAGCCAGTTACCCAGCCTCTGCATTAACAAAGTAAGTGAAGAACTCAAGCAATGTTTCCTATGCACAAGTAAAAACAAAGAGTTTAAGCCAAAGATCAAGTAAAGATAGAGCTTAAACAAAAGAGCAGAAAGAATTCAAAAGCAGAGGTATAGTTTAAGAGTAAAGAGAAAAAAACTAGACATAGAAGGGGACAGCATATGGAAAAGAGATAAAATTCCAAACCCGAGACAACAAAATTAAACACTGTCATCTAAGGAAGGCCTGGAAAGGATTGAGGTTGAGAATGAACTTCAAGCCACATTCTTTTCATTCTTTAGTGAAAATTTCCCAAGTCTTTATAGAGATGAATAACAAGAAGGGCCAAAGATTTTTAAAAGTTAACTAGATGTACAAGGGTTCATGTGCATATGGGAATCAGGAGGAGAATCACAGCATGCAGGAAGAGTCAGGAGAAGGAAGTAGATGGATGAATTGCAACTTAGACTTTTCTGGTATCATTTTAAGATCAATCATTTAGTTGTACCTACCACAGAACCTGGAAAGTACTTGACAAAATCATTAGATGATGAGTGGGGAGAAAAAGAGCTTTCAGCATTGAACTTTTCAGTATTAACATTCTGAACTCCTACAAAGATAACACTCAATGGTTTCCCTTTATTCATATAAATACTTCCCATCCACCATCCAAACACCTCAATGATTTCCTCTTTACCAAAATCATGACAGGCATCTTCCACTGACAGACTACATTTCTAAAATCTGAAGTTAATCTTTCCTTTCTTAGCTGTTTCTCACTTCACTGATCAGATATTTTGTTACAGGAAGCATTCAAACACACTTAAGATATATAACACTGCTCAGAATGAAAATGAAACTCACTAGTCCACAGTAACCAGACTTCTTTTCTCAAATTTCTCTGTAGATATGCTCATGTGATTATCTATCAGCCCTCCATCTAGCACAGTGACCCAACATGATAATTCCATCTTCAAGTTCTTTCAAAGTTCCAGAATGACTATCTTAGGCATTTAAATATATGGAGCCTATGACTTTGGGAATACCTCTAGGCTAACTTTTTTTTCTGGGTATCCAAAGACCTAGGCAGAGTAAATAAGTCACAAGCAGATTTAAAGAGAGATAACAAAAATAAATATCCTCAGTTATCTACATTACATGACTATAATATGAATTGCATTAAAAAAAAAATGATGTCCCTTACAGACCCATAGAAAATTACCTTTTTCCTGAGAAAGCTTCTCCTCCTGACGTTGGTGGTGAGGTTTGTAAGGTGCTGCCCCCTGACTGAGTTCTTCAGCCACAAAACCATCCAGAAAAGATAAGGAAGCATCTACCTGTATTAAAGTGAAGCAAAAATCAGAAATTACAAAACTTTACCCTAAACCTAGACTGTACATTCACATAACTAATTTCAACCCATGTCCTAAAAATAATTTTTAAGTGAAAAAAAAGAACTTCAGTTCTAAAAATGCTACTAGCGTTACCCAACTCTCTAGCTCTCTAAAACACCTATATTCAAATCACTCAGCTAAGTATGTAACAATGAAAGTTGTCTGCAGTTATTATTAATTTCATTGTACTGCAGAATAAACTTTTGAGCACCCAGTATGTTACAGCATCATGTCAGGTGCTATGATGAAGACAAAGAAAGACATTTCTCCAGCCCTCATGAGACTTTAACCTACTAGAGAAGACATCTACATTCTGAGCTAGTGTCTGTATTAGTTTGCTGCTAGGGACTAAAAACAAAGTGTTGGCAAGGCTAGTTCCTCTGGGAGGCTCCAAGGGAGAATAAGTTCCTTCTCCCTTCTAGCTTCTAAAGGCGCCACCATTCCCTGGCTTGTGGCCCCATCACTCTGATCTCTACTTCTATTGTTAGTTGGTTTTCTACTGACTCTTTGCTTACTTTTATAAGAACTCTTGTGATCATGCCTTCTTGGACAATCCAAAATAATCTCCCCCTCAAAAATTCCTTAATTTAAGTGTATCTACAAAGTCCTTATTACCATGTAAGATAACAAATACACAGGCTGCAGAGAATGAAGTATGCACATCGTGGGGAAGGCTACTATTCAGACCCTGGCAGTGCCTTTAACTATCCTATTCTTTTCTACCTAAAAATACCTTTTCACAAATCTATGGAAAATTACCTAATTTCAGCAGGAATAAAAAGGTACAAAAGAATGAATAAGTGAAAATAAAAGATGAAGAAAGAGTGAGGGGAAAGGATAAAAGAAAAAGTGAAGAAAGAAGAATGAGATATACACAAAAGGATATAGCAGTGGTGGCCTCAGAAGCCACAGATCTGCCTCTCCTGGTTTAGCCAACTGTATGCAAACAGCTCCAATAATTAGAAGAACAGACAGATCTCAAATATTTAAGTGGCATGACACACTCTAAATCTGGAAAGGTTCTTACAAAATGAAGACATGTCATCATTTCAATCTTTCATTGGAGGAAAGAGGAAAAAGAGTTACTTCCTAGTTTTGTACTATGTATAGCATATTTAGGGGAGCCTGAGTGGCTCAGTTGGTTAAGTGTCCGACTCTTGGTTTAGGTCAGGTCATGATCTCAGTTTGTGGGTCTGAGCCCTGCATCGGGCACAGCAATGACAGCCCAGGGGTGGCTTGGGATTATCTCTCCCTCTTTCTCTGCCCTTCCACCACTCTCTCTCTTTCCTTCTCTCTCTCTCTCTCAAAATAAATAAATAAACTTAAAAAAAATATTATGTATAGCATATTTATTCACCTTTTCAATGAATGTCTTTGGGCCTCCTACCAAAGGTGAAAGAAAGGTGTCTACCCCTGAGGAGCTTCTGAAAGAACTAATGAACAAAGAGGTTCAAAATGAATATAAGTCATGAAAATCTGAGTCAGAATTAGTAGGAATGCTGCCCCTCCTCTCCTCTTTCTCAACTGTATGACATCTAACAAATAAAAATTTGTACAAATCTGGCTTCCTTTTAGCAATTTCCTAATTTACACCAGTCTGGAGAAGAGATCAGTACATATTCAGAGGGTGAGTAGTAACTGAGCCCATTAGGTTAGAAAGAGTAGTGGCTTAAAGTTAGGTAGGACAAGGAAGGTGGTTGATCAGGTTCCAAAGTGGTAAAGAAGTTAGACACTAGGTGGACAAAATGCAACAGAGAACTATTTTTTACATTCTCAAAGATACCAAAGTAATAATAAAATTGCATATTAGAGAAGTTCAAAGGAGATTTTAAAAATTTAATTTTTTTTACATTTATTTAGAGACAGAGACAGTGCAGGGTTTAGGGGGGCAGAGAGAGAGAGAGAGAGAGAGAGGGAGGGAGGGGGAGACAGAGAGAGAGAAAGAGAGAGGGAGAGAGAGAGAGACATTGAGAATATCCCATGCAGGCTCCACACTGCTAGCACAGAGCCTGACGCGGGGCTTGAACCCACGAAACCGCAAGATCATGACCTGAGCCAAAACCAAGAGTCAGATGCTCAACCGAGTCACCCAGGCTCCCCCCAAAATTTAGTTCTTGAACTACCATATATTAAAAGAGACTGCCACTGGATATAAACTGCTTCAGTGCAGTTCTCCGGAAGAGATACTGATCTATTCCCAACTCTTTAGGAGCTCTACTGAATTGAAGCTCTCAAATTCTCTCATATGATGTGAGAAAAACTCCAACCTTTATCTGAAGTGTTACAGAAAGTATATTTTGATATATTCCAGATACATCACAAAGGAAAGAATTATTCTGTTTGGAGATGATGCAATTTTTACAAAGATAAAATACAGATGCCTTACCACCATGTCTTCACAGCTCTTATCAACTGGAAGCAAGCTCTTCATAAGTTCCACATTCTCACGTAAGTGTTTTAATTCAAACGCATGCTGTCTCATACAAGTATCCAAAGATACGGTGAATTCCTGGATTAATCTCTCAACTATGTTAGAAGAGTGTGCTTGGGGTGTCAACTTGGTAACAGCAGCAAGTAACCAGGCTTTTGTTTCTGAAGAAACCGAGTCATTCATAAGTAACTTGTAGAGTTTGGTTATAACTTCCTCTGGCGTTTCCTCATCTAAGAGATAGGAATACTCCCCTAACACCTATGAGTAAAACAAAGAGACTGTTCATATAGAAATATCAAGCAAATTGTACTGGGCAAATCTGTACACAGCAAATTGTACTGGGAAATCCAAACAAAGTAGCTGCTGCTGGAGTGAATTTAATCTAGAGTAAATACATTCTCATGGTGAAGAAATTCTTAAAGATAAAATTGTATATTTTAGGGTCGAAATTATACCAAGAATTAGAACTCAATACCAAAAGATTTTCCACATCTTTATCATTCACAAAATATAAAGCAGCATACTTTACAAGTGAGCTTTCTTCTGAACTTCCAGTTCAGTTGTTGCCTTTTATCAACACCTCCACATTCTGTTACTTATTTTGCAATTAGCATTGAAACCAGTGGTTCTCACATGCTAGTGTGCATGAGAGTCACCTAAGGTGTTTCATTTCTAGGTTCTACCCCCAGATATTCTGAGTGAGTATGTCTGTGGTCGGGATCCACAGTGCACATTTGGAACCAGCATCAGCTGATTCTGATGTATATGATCCACAGAAGAAACTCTGAGGAAGGCTGACCTATGTTACATATCCTTTTTCTTACAACTTATTTAGGTGATACATAATCCTACTGGTCTAAAAATTATTAATAAACTGATAACTCATGTAGTGTGAGATCTTTCCTAAGTGCTATTTATGGAATATTTTCATGTCTTTAGTGTAACACTGGCACCAGCAGGAAAAAACGGGAGGGGAGGTGAAGTGATAGGCAAGGGAAAATTTACAGCTAGTAACAAGAAAAGGAGGAAAAATTAATAGAAATAAATAAATCCAATTCTTAAAGTAGCAAGATAATTTTTTGAGTGGTTTAAGAAGATGAAAGGTATCTCTAGAAAAGCTGGTAATCTAACAGCCAGTTCAAAAATTACTGGGTGGTGGGAGGCTGATGCCTGGGTGGTTCAGTTGGTTGAGCATCAGATTCTTGACCTCAGTTCAGGTCATGATCACAGGGTCAGGAGATCAAGGCCTGTGTCAGGCTCTGTGCTAATGTGGAGCCTGTCTAGGATTCTCTCTCTCCCTCTGCCCCTCCCCCATTCTCTCTCTTTCTTTCTAAAATAAAAATAAAAATAATAACAATGGGAAGACAGAGTAAATGCATTTTCCCCTATTCCTCCCATAAGTACATCTAAAATCCTTGGTGTTATATATAAAACACACATAAAAAGACACAGATAGGTGGAGAAAAGAAGGCCAATTGCTAATGACTTTGTGATAGTACAGTGGGTTATCTGCTGCCTCATACACCCCAGACTGGGTATTAGAGAGCCAGCAACCTGGAAACAGCAATGGGCACAGACAAAATGACCCCAAGAAAAGCCTGCCCTCTAGCCAAAGAGCCAGGACTGAAAACTTATTTATTTTTATTTTTTAAATGTTTATGTATTTATTTTGGGGAAGAGAGAGTGCAAGCAGGGAAGGGATGGAGAGAGAGAGAGAGAGAGAGAGAGAGAGAGAGAGAGAGAGCGCTCAGCACAGAGCCTGATGCAGGGCTCAATCCCATGATCCTGGGATCATCACCAGAGCCAAAATCAACAATCAGACACTTAACTGACTGGGCCACCCAGGCACCCCAGGAAGACAGAAAACTTTTAGACAATAACCCTCTACTCTAGCCAAGTACCACATAGAAAAAAACCCACAGACCCACTCACACCACCAAAGGCTGAGTAGAAAGCCAAGACTTCCACCCCTACCAGGCTGTAAGAGGCGCTCCAATTCCCTCAAAAGGGAGAAGACTCAGTAGGGAGCTAGGACTTTCATCCCCACCAAGTTGTCAAGAGGCCCACTCCTCTGCAGTGTCCATGAAGATCACATATGGAAGCCTGCATTTTATACCCTCTACCCAGGTATAAAGAGGGATTCCTCCGCCCCTTCACTGGGATCATGTCAGAAGCCCTGTGGAGAGTCAGGGCTTTCACCACTGCTCAGTCATTACAAGGCCACCCTTCCACAATGTCAGTGGAGACCACACAGAGATCTCAACACCTGTGTCACAATGCCATTACCAAAAGACTAATCAACATTTACCAAACACACCATCCAACAATAACAGAATACCCAATCCTTTCAAGCACTCACAGAACATATAATAAGATGTATCTTAGGCCATAAAACAAACATCAAAAAACTTAACAAAACTGAATTCACAGAGTATTTCCTCTGGTGACAATGGCAAACTATAAATCAGTAACAGGAAAGATAACAGAAAATTTTCCAAACACTTAAAAACTAAACAATACTCTTCAACACAACTTTTCCAGAAAACAGAAGAGGAAAGACTACTCCTATCTCATTTTATGACACTATTATTAGTTTGATACCAAAACCAAAACAATAGGGTAGAAAAAAAATCTCATGAACAGAGATGCAAAAAATTCTTAACGAGGTCTCAAGAAATCTATTGAAAAAATCCTAGATTAGTGAGTTCAGCAAGATGGCAGCGTGTAAGATCAAACTACAAAAAATCTATTGTATTTGAATAAACTAGCAGCAAACATGTGGGAACCAAAATTAAAAACAAAATATATCTACTACTGCTCTAAAGAAATTGAAATGCTTAAGCATAAATCTAACAAAACCTGCACAGAATCTGTATGGTGCAGAAAGAAATAAAAGCACTATAAATATATGTAGTGACATGCCATGTTCTTGGAGGGAAAAAAATGAATAGCTGCCAAATACAATAACCCATTTAGGCAAGGATTATCAATACTAAAACCACTGGTGAAATATAGTTAAGGAAAAGATGTTGACACATAGCCCCTTAGAATCACCTCACAGATTAGCTACAAATTACTAAGGAGAAAATGCATCTTTACAATGGAGAGATCTGAAGGTTATCTTAACCAAACAAAGAAACTTAAAATCACTAGTAACTGGGGAACTGATATGGTATGTGTCCTGATGATACAGTGGGAAGTACATAACATTGTTGATATAGTATTCTTCCTAAAAATGTTTAACCAAACCAGAAATAATAAGACAAATTCAGAAAGTTGGGCATTCTGCACATCAACAGTATTCATCCAAAAAAATCAATATCATGAAAACAAAAAGAAAGTGAGGAACAATATAAAATAAAAGAGGCTAAACAGACAACTAAATGCAATTTGTGATCCCTGATGGGATCCAGGATTAGTAGTAGTAGAAAAATAGCCGTAAGAAACATTTTTTGGACAACTGGATAAATGTGAACATGGACTGTATATTAAATGATATTAATGAATTAATGTTACATTTCTTAAGTATAATAATGGTTCTATGACAGAACAAAGTCATTCTTAGAAGACTCGTGTTGAATTTTTTTTGGAGGGTCATGATGTCTGCAACTTATATGTAGATCTAGATGTAGATATAGTAAAGCAAAGGTGGTTAAAAATACTAACAGGGAATCTAAATGAAAAGTATAGAGATATTTATTATACTAGTCTTTCAACTTTCCTGTGTATGAGAAAAAAAATTCTTAAATAAAAGTCTGGGTAAAATTCAAGTTAACATGCTAACATTTGGCAAAACTATAAAATATTAAAAGAGGCATATGCTATGATCCTGCAGTTGTACTCCACCAAAGCTTCCCCTAAGGAAACACTCACCCACATGCACAACAAAGATACACAGAGGTGATGGTATGTATGCAATTACATATGATTACATGACATAAAATTTGGCCTTCATCTTGCAAGAGATAATTTCCTTTGCTGTCTTTGATGAAGCAAGGAGGAATGTTGGGAGGCCCACATGCAAGAAACTGAGGGCAGCTCCAGGAACTAAGGGTAGCCTACGGTCAACAGTCTGAACTTCAAACCCTCAGTCCTACAACCACAAGAAACAGGTTTCTTCTAACAACCACACCAGATTGGAAGTGGATCCTTCACCAGTCAAGTTTCAGATGAGACAGCAGCCCCAGCTGACTGCAACCCTCAGAGACCCTAAGCAGAGGACGTGGCTAAACCAGGTCTCAACTCCTGACCCACAGAAACTGTGAAATAATAAATTTATGTTGTTTGAAGCACTAAGTTTGTGGTAACATACAGCAATGAAAAACTAACATAACACAGATGCATGAGTATTCACATATTCTAACACAGATTCACAGAGAAAATACAGCAAATGTATTGTAGACACAGACACCTAACCAACTGTCTATAATACACAAAGTAGACAAGTGAGATGAAAGGGAGAATGAATAGACAAGTAGATATTTAAGTGACAAACTAGCCAATGGGAAAGAAAATGGATAGCTAAAGGGGTTAGCAGGGTAGAATTAAATGATTTCTGAAGGAAATATATTGCTAGTATTGGGCTTTATAAAAAACAATGTTATAAATACTTATGCTCTAATGTACTTTGCTCACCCAACTCATAACTTGAAGAAATTTCTGTGGATAGAACACATTTTCCGCATCTAGTAAAGTGAGATAAGACTGAACTGCATAAAGCCTTAATTGTTGATTTTCTGTTTCATCATCAAAACCTACAAAGAAATTGATACATCATTTTAACTTTCACTAAAAACTCTTAATGACTCTGTAATAAAAACATTTAATTTTGAAATCTTTCCAGAATGCAGTAATTTACTAACCTTCTGCTAGCAGTCTCAGAAAGTTATTGGGAATATCAGGATGCATAACATCTCCTCCCACTGAAAACACAGCATTCATTGTCTGAATAAACCATGCATTATCTGGGGCATATGTGTCCACAGTGTTAAGACCAAGTACACTTCCAAATACCACTTATTAAAATTACCTTTTCTGCATCAACCTTTTAAAGAATAACCCCCAACCTATCCTACTTAGGTATTTTTACTTTTAACCTCTGCCAATAAATTGTTCTATACTCCAGATTTATGTGAAATAGGTGCTCAGTAAAAGCTTATTTAATAAACTTAATAAACTAAATTCTTGTTGCTTCATCTAGCACCATGCCTTGTACATACTAAGCATCCAATAAATAAGTGTGAAAAAAAATTTTTTTAAACTTTTGTTTTTACATTTATTTATTTTTGAGAGACAGAGTGAGACAGATCACAAGCTGGGGAGGGGCAGAGAGAGGAGACACAGAATCTGAAGCAAGCTCCAGGCTCCAAGCAAGTGTTCAGCACAGAGCCCGACACAGGGCTCGAACCCACAAACCATGAGATCATGACCTGAGCTGAAGTCGGTCACTTAACCTACTGAGCTACCCAGGCGCCCCAAGTGTGAAAAAAATTTAAAGAGATATTCCAGATGCCTAAGGACAAATAATGGAAAATGACATACACTTCAAAGAGACTAAATGTGGTATGTCTACTCAAGCTATTTAATCTCTTTTCTAACCTGTTCTTCTTCAGTTCTAAAATTCCATCATTCTGCTGCCTGGAGTTACGTATGGCACTAGATACGTGGCACAGAAAACTATATTTAAGCAATTTCCAAGATGACTGACTGGAGTAACATTGTACATTTATTCTTCCTTTGATTTAAATAACAGACATCTTTAAAAGAATGAAATATCGTTGTGACCTGTAAAGTTTCTCTGACTTTTAAAAAGCAAATGTGGGGGCACCTGGGTGGCTTGGTCGGTTGAGTGTCCAACTTCAGTTCAGGTCATGATCTTGTGATTTGTGAGTTTGAGCCCCACGTCAGGCTCTGTGCTGCCAGCTCAGAGCCTGGAGCCTGCTTGGGATTCTGCGTCTCCCTCTCTCTGTGTCTCCCCTGCTTGTGTGCTCTCTCTCTCTCTCAAAACTAAATAAATGTTAAAAAAAATAATAAAAAAAAAAAAAAGCAAATATGAAGAAAAGTGACATGTGAATGGCGTTCCCAACTACCTTACTGGGACAATTTCCAGTATAAACAATAGCGTAAAGGATAAATTTTAGCATGCTGATCCCTACTCCCAAGGACCCCCTGCAAAACAACAAGAACATTTACCAGAAAAGAAACTAATTATGAAATAAAGTCAAAGATAAGAAGGCAATGAAAGAGGAATCAGGCAGAGGTTCCTGTATCTTTCTGCTCATAATACTGACCAACTGAATGAAAGAATCAGGGGGAAAAAAGCCATCCACTAAGAAGCCTACAAATATTCCTGTTTTTGACAAGAAAGGCCTGTATATCAGGTATGGGAAAAGTTATTGTGTGTCTCTGAACTCAATTTGCAAGTGACCACAACTAAACCAATCATTCTAAAGTCACTATGTAACTGGGGTGCTTGGGTGGCTCAGTCTTAGGTTAAGTGCCCAACTTTGGCTCAGGTCATGATCTCACAGCTCATGAGTTCGAGCCCTGCACCGGGCTCTGTGCTGACAGATCAGAGCCTGGAACCTACTTCAGATTCTGTGTCTCCCTCTCTCTGAACTTTCCCCACTTGCACTCTGTCTCTCAAAAATGAATAAACAGTAAAAAAAATTTTTTTGAGTCACTATGTAACTACAGGTATTTTATGACTTATGGTCCAAACAAAGGATATTTCTCAGCGAGTTCAGCTATTTTGCCAACCAAATTGACGATAATATACTCTTCTTTGCTCTGTTGTAAATATTCAAGCATTTTCTGGACAATCACTGTTATATTCTGTGCATTAGTAATTCTGTAAAGAAGTTCCAGAGTCTATTTAAGAAAGAAATAAAAACAGCATTATAAAACTATAAATGGTAATTCCAGTAAATACAGCAATATATAGGTTTAGAATACAGTTGATTCTGCCACTTTTACATAGACCAACTGGGCAGTTAATAGGTGCTGAAGAAATGCACATTTTAGCTAAAACAGAACTTAATTAAGAAAGGTAGAACCTGGGGCGCCTGGGTGGCGCAGTCGGTTAAGCGTCCGACTTCAGCCAGGTCACGACCTCGCGGTCCGTGAGTTCGAGCCCCGCGTCAGGCTCTGGGCTGATGGCTCAGAGCCCGGAGCCTGTTTCCGATTCTGTGTCTCCCTCTCTCTCTGCCCCTCCCCCATTCATGCTCTGTCTCTCTCTGTCCCGAAAATAAATAAAATTAAAAAAAAAAAAAAGGTAGAATCTACTGTCAAAAAAATGAATTATGATCAATTCCAAAGTCTAAAAGCTTTTTGATACCGATAAAAATTATAATCTGACTACTTCTAAATGAGAGGCCATGTAAAGTCTAAAAACTTAAAAGGTTTATAATCTGTTTTCTAAAAATATAACAGCTTCTTAAACCTATATCATTTATGCCTGTCTGTGCATGTATATATACACACATGAAAATCCAGTCTTACAAACTATATTTTCCACACTACGTAAACAATAGAAAATAGCCCTTGAGTGGGTTCATCAGCTGAGAGCAAATGGCCTCCAACAGATGGACAAAGGCTGGGGGCTCAAGTGCTTCAAAGCCTTAGCAAGGCCTCTGTTCAGAATCTCAGGCAAGGAAAAACCATGTTATAGTCACTTTCTCAATGCTCAGGAATATACCTCTTGCTTCCTCTTAAAGGAAGACCAGTACGAGAGTAAGCTCCCATTTGGCTACACTTTCTGAGGCCCTACATTAAGGTTCTAAAAATATCGTTAACTCCCAGAAATCAATATGAGACCAAGGGCAGTACTGAGAAAGTATCATTTACTGGTATTTTAGGATCAACAACATTAGCTGCAAGAGATTTCCATATATTCTACTTGTCAAACTTGTTCAAAATATCTTAAGGGTTCTTTGTAATTTTTCAATCTTCATTGCCAGGATATCAAGTACAAAAGATAACTGTTTAAGTTAATTCTTAACTCCATTTTAAAATCCATAAATACACAGGTCCTCCATTAATAGCTTTCAACTTATATAGCTGTCTCAGACATGCTCCCTGTAGATTTTAAACTACATTATTACATATTTTTAGATAATTATACCAAATTTATTTCCTACTCTAAGACTATGCAATTTAGCATTTCCAGGTTTGCATGAGACAGGGCATTAGGAATTGCATGGCTCAAGAGAGGTCTTTTATGTTTGTTCCTTCTTGCCTTCTTTCTCCCTATGAGAAAGAAAGGTAATAAAACCAGACAAATGGGAAGCCCAGTCTTAAACAACAGGTCACTCCATTCCCAAGGACCAAAGTTCTTCTATGTAATTACTTACAGAGGTTATACATGATAGTGGCATTCGAACAGATAGTCCTGAGGTGCCTTCTTGGAGCACTATTGATACTAAAAGAATTCAAACTACTTTTCTCACAGCAGGTAATAGACAAAACAGATCAGACTCGATAATTTTAAAAGAAATTTATTTTCCCTTTGACTCTCATTTTTAAATTAGGGCCCAATAATTAAATATAGCACTAAGAAAACTGTACCTAAGTCAACTCTGTTCAATTGAGTAGCCAACCACACAAAGAAAACACATGCTCTGTATTTGTTCAAAGTGGAAGAGCCAAATAATTATTGTTATTGTCCTTTGGTGCCTTCTCACTCTTCTATCATGCCTACACAGAGAAATTAGTCCATCTACAAACTTCCCAGATTTGAGGCAAGTAACAATTTTCAGAAGATTAAAAATATAAATGCAAAAAGAAAAAATATATATGTAGATGACAATTTCTCAAAAACACTTTTATTTCAAAAACAGTACCTTTTAAAATTGAAAATTTATAATCTTATCTTTTAAAATTACAATTGTTTAATGAAATAGTATTCTTTGCATAAACTACTTTTAACTCATTGCTATTAAGTAATTTAGATGTTCAATAAATTATCTTTATTTTTAAAATAAAAAATAAAAATATCCATTCTTCTTAACTAGGTCCCATATACCATTTTAATATGAGGGCACAGAGTGATTTGTTTACATGAAAATTAACAGAAACACTTATATAGGCACCCAAATGGACACTGAAGCAATTCCTTCCAAGAAGTTCAAATCGTTTAGGGGTTATCTTTATTAATTCTTTCAATATTCCTACATATTTAATAAGGAATGCATTAGCCCACTTCACAGATGTTAAGAATATGAAAAAAATATTAATCATCATAAATTACATCTTAAATTACATTAACAGAAAGAACTTGAAATAGAATTCAGGTCTCTTCTTAGACCAAAAAAGATATTAATGAATCCATTGAACCTAACTCCTCTAACTCATAGTTTAAAAACATTTGTGAAGATACTGACACAAGGACTTTTTAGAAAAGTTCCTTAAACTTTACTAGAAAGAATAAAATACACTCAGAAGTTAAAATACACATGTGTGTACACACACACACACACACACACACACACTACTACTTTCCTCTCTCCATAATACCAAAAAAGAAGTTTAAAAGTTATAACACTTCACGTACACTATTCAAAGTACCAGTTTACCTCTCTTTTAATAATGGGATCAGGATGGTCTAAGCATTCAATTATTGTCATCTGGTGCTGAAGAGCCAGAGTGGGATCCTGCTGGATAACATAGGTAAGAGCCTTCAGCCCTAGAAACAAAGATTACGTTATACAAAGTGACTGGAAACAAATATCCAGCAAATTTCAAGAGCTGTCTTTGTAATTTCTGTCAAAATTATCTAATCATCTTACCTAAATACTTGAGATTTATTTTAGGTGACAGAACAAATCTTCCAATGCACTTGGCAGCCTTCTCAAGTAATTCTGATTTAGGATAAATAGAATAAACTGTATGTACACATTCAAACAGAATAGCTAGAGAAAGAAAATATAAAAATGTCAGGGATCATGTTAAGGCATAATAAAAGAACATGTGTAGAACTCAGAACAAAACAAACTAATTAGAAGGTCAGTTTTAGTAAAAACTTATTTATGGAAAATTTTCAAAGATAGGAACTTTGTTGTTTTCAGGCTTACACAACTATTAGGATTATATTACCACAATATAATATATTATGTATATTAATAGATAGAAATGATGCATTCACACATGCAACAAGTATTTACTGAACACCTCCTATGTGCCAGGCATTGTTCTAATAGCATGGATACAGCAGTGAACAAAAAAGACAAAAACCCCTGCCCTTAAGGAGCTCACATTCTAAAGGGCACATAAGTAATATATTCATTGTTCCTATATAAACAGGTATTTCCAACACTGCTTGCATGCTTTAAAATAATTTGTTCTCTGGCAGTTTCTACCATTTATACACAGAAACTATATATGTAGTTTATTTCAATGTAATCATTTTAGGATACTCTAGCATTCATTTCAAAGTAGGGCCATTTCATAAAAATCCTCAAGTCAGTTCTTTAAAACAAACCTCGAAGAACATAGAACTATCTATTGAACATCTTGATAGTGTTCAAATTTGATTTTCTAATACAGTCAAAGATTGGATAACTACGATAATGATCAAAGTGTACACTAAAATCTTTTTCAAACTCTTTTGAAGAGCCTAAGTCAAGGAGCCTGAGCTTTGTCATGGTAAATAAAGAAGAACCAGCGTGGTATCAAGTCCTGCATGTGCTATGGAATCACAGTGTAAGTGAGACACAGACTCAGTCGACTTAACAGTTCTACCACAAGTTGAAGCATATCAAGTGTCCTTGATAGAATCCTTTCTTCTCTATTTCTAAAAGCTTTAAACAAAACAATCTGATACTTTGTTGTATACAACATAAAACTTGAGTATTCAACCAGCTATATTTTCCACTGTTAGGTTGCCTATCGACTGATTGACACATAAACTTTGTATAAAAAGCTTTATACAAACCCTTTCTATAGAAGGAGAAAGAGAAAATAAATCAGAAATACAAATTTCTCTTTAAGAAGGGGACTGACTTTAAAGGAAAATCTACAAAGTGAGTTAACTGAACCTAAAAAGATACTCCTCTGTATATTCAGATGTTGTGCTGTAAAATGTCCTCATTCTGTGCCATGGAAAAAGTAAACTTTATGACTTTATGAACTAAACAAAGAGAGGCTTGGTCAAGTGAGTGACCAACTAAGGCAAGAATGGATGAACTACCACTAAATCTAGCCCTTGGCCTACTTTTGCAAGCCTGTAAACTAAGAACAATTTTTACATACTTTTTGAGATACAATTGACATATAACATTATATGAGTCTCAGGTGTACAATTACATGTTTCAAAGGTCGTAGAAAAACAAAATAAACACAGGAGAATTTATGACAGAAACCTATGTTACCTACAAAGCTTAAAATATTTACTACCTGGCCCCCTTTTCAGAAAAAGTTTGCCAAACCCTGAACTAATAGGCCAGTCCTAAGTAACATTAAAAATAATGATGACCCATTTTCTGTTATAACTGACACGGTTTCCTTTACAGATTCCTGCCATTCGGAACTCTCCTGCTATCAAACTGTGTTACTACAAAAGCTTCTCATTACCCATCCAAAATCCAAACTTTTATTTAGATGCTCATAAGATTTCTGGAAAGCTAGTATAGGTAAAATTAATAGTTCAAAAATTATACTTATGAACTTAGTGCACAAATGAGCTAAAAATGAATTTAATAGATTTCTAAATCACTTTTCCACTATAGCTAAATCCCTTTATACCCCAACTCTACAAAAACCTGAGTATAAGTCCATAAATGAAACAGCAGCCACCCTGCTCTGCTGTCTCCCCTCTGCAGCGGTTAAAAAAAAAAAAAAAAGTGCTTCTGAGGATTCTAAACGTAAAAACACAATGTGAACTTTTGTTTTCTCCTCAAGAGCAACCCAGGTCCTAACCAAAATATCAAGTAAAAATTAGCAAATAAAAAATTAGTAATATCCTAACATTTGTGATACTGTGGTTTTATCATAGGTTTTTGGAGTTGGATTATGCACAAAATTTGAAGACATTCCACTGACACCTTATCCTTCAGACTAGACTTTACTTTCTATTAAATAAGGAAAGTATCTATTGATACTACTCTGACAGGGAGACGCGGGTACCACCCTATGGGGATGAAAGTCCAGGTTCTCCACTCTGCCTCCTTTGACACCTGGAGAAGGAGGGGACCCTTATTCCTTCTGGGTGGGGGATGGGAGTGTCTGCTGATACTATCCTGCCTCAGAAAGGAAGGGGCACCTCATTACCACTCCAATGGCCTCCACTGACATTGATGGGATGGCCTGAATATCCCTGACCAGTGGTGAAAGCTCCAACTCTTTCTAGGCTTCCCCTAACACCACCTCAGCAAAGAGGGGAGAGGTGCTTCATTAACTCCCTATTCCTAGATATGTGAAATCCAGGCTTCCCACATCATCTCCACTGACAGTGCAAGCGAGATATGCCCCACTCCCGACACCTGGCAGGGATGAAATTCTGGCTCTCCTCTTGGGCTTCTCCACAATGAGCCCAGTAGAAGCATTGGGAATCTGCTTACACCTGGTGAGGGTGGAAATCTTGGCTCTCCACTCAGTCTTTTCTGACATGGGTGGGTCCATAATTTATTCTGTGTGATGCTTGTCTGGAAAAGAGGCTACCATCTAAAAGTTTTCTACCTTGCTAGTTTGCCCTTTTCTTGTTGGTCCTTTGGCTAGACAGCAGGCTTTTCTTAAGGCATTTTTGTTTGGAACAGTTGGTGTTTCCACATTGCTGGCTCTCCAGTACCCAGTCTGAGAAATATGAGGCAAAAAGAAAACCCACGGCACTCACCGTGATATTGTTCCTTGCATCCCAAGGTTCCTAACCAGTCCACCTTCATTTCTCTACCTTACAGAGTCTTATGTTAATTTTATATATAATGTCTATTAAGTGGGAAAAACAGGGAAATGCACTTCTGTCTACTTTTGATGGTTCTGTGCCTTGTACTCCCTTTTCTATAATTCTCCCAATTTACTAAAAAATGTTACTCTCATCTTATCAGTACCTTGCCCAGAAGTCTTCCATATCTCTGGATTTATACGGTATAAAGCCCAAACTCATTTGACTGCCACAAGAGAACCTCTGCACCAAGGCCTTTCCACTGCTCCCAATATGAACTGTCCATGTAGACTGGTAAGTTGATATTCTCTGAAACTGTTTTAAATATCCCCACTTCTGTACCTTTTCTCATGTTCCCTTCACCTAGACCCCCCGATCTCTCTTCTGGCTATCTGTATCCTTACTATCTGTCAGGGCCCCATTATATCAATGAACTCTTATGTGTGTCCTCAGGCCCACAGTGATCTCTACCACTGGACTCCTGTAATATTTATTCTCTGTATCACCCCTTAGCATTCTGCCTTATACTGATATTATTCTTTCATAAATAAGCTAGTTCTACCATTACATAGTAAATTTCTTGAAGGCAAAGATTACATTTTATACTCCTTTACATCCTCTATATCACTTTGCACAATGCCTGGCACATAACAGTACTCAATAAACATCTCTGATGGGATTTATGTCTTGACTTAACACTTAGGTAGGTTAAAATAATGGAATTTTCAAAAAAATATGATTTAGCAAGTATAAAAGCTAAAACCCAATCAGGTAACTGATAAAAGTTATCAGTTATATATAGATAACTGATAAAAGTAAAGTAGTTTTTCTCTTCCTCTAATTCAACTAAAACGTGTTACTCATTGATTAACCTAGTGCCAGACAGTGGAATAGACACAGTCTCTTCCCTTATGAAGTTCATGATTTAAAATTCACATTCTTAAGCAATAAAATATTCGTGTCAGCATTACTAGAGAACATTCTATCATTGATAAAATCACTCAAAGTTATAAACTGTATCAATACAAATACAGAGGGGAAGCCTAACAATGGAAAGATTAATAAAAGAAATAAATAAAACAACAGAAACTATAAGGTTTCCATGGCAAGGTAAAACATTGCACTGACAGCCTACAAAGAAATGAATTATTGGTGTTGGTCCCAGAAATGTTAATAAGGGAAAGGTGCCCTAGGGGAGAACATTAAAAAAAGTATTTCCTCAGGTATACAGTACTCTCCAAATCAAAAGGAACAGATAACAGTGGTTATCTCCAAGAAGGGGAACTGGGTGGTGGGTGGTAAGGGTCAAAGGGACACTTACTGTTCACTGTATACCTTTTTGTACCTTTTGAATTTTGAACCATGTGCATATATTACCTATTCAAAAAAATAAAAAAATTAAAGCTGAAATGTCAATTACCAAAAAAAAAAAAAAAAATTGTGCAAGAAAAAGAAAATCAGATCCTTAACTGATTCTAAACAGACTTCCTTGAGAGTCTTTCAAACTCTTATCCTACACACTAATTATATCTCAAGCAAAACTTTTTAGCTTCGCTGCCTGCAAAGACTCTGACACTTGTCTGGATCTTCTGACAGCTCCTAAACAAACCACCCATGTCAATAAGGATGATCCTTATCACTGGCCTGACTCTTCTCATTACACAGCAAGATCCTACATAGTATCAACCGTTCATTACACTATACCCTCATAAGGGCAGGGACTGTGTCTATCTTATTCTCCCTTTAATCTCCTGTACTTATCATGGAGAAATACATAAATCAATCAACTCTTCCCTCAATCTGTACCTAGTTTACAAATCAAGTTTTTGTTTTGTAACCCTTCAATAAATACTGGTTGAACAAATGAATAAACCATTTTCAATGTCTTAATTACCATTTTTCCATGCAAAACATAAATCTATCTTCCAAAATTTACCATCTCAATTCACTGTCATTGCATTATCAATCCTGTATGAGTCTCATACATGCAATTCTTTCTCCTTATTCCTAACTCCATCTTTGTCAAACACTTTTCTTACAGTTAAACTAGTATAATTTCTGCCCTCTAGTCCATCCCACATTTCTACAATCATTGTTCTTAAAGATTCACCATTTACCACTGTCTGAAAAAACAGGATGGTCTTCAAACCCTACTTCACAGTATTTTACCAGAAAAAGAAATAACTTCTCATTTGAGTTAATCTCTCAATGCTTCTTCTATTTTTCTCTATAGCATGCAAAATTCAAACTGTTTTACTTTGCTTCTGAATATTTCCAAATACCTCAATTTCTTTACTGAGCTTTTTCAAACTAATCAATAAAGAGCCAATAGTTCCTCCCTCTATTAAGATTGAAAGTTTTTTGGTTACTTTTCTCAGTCCTCTACCCTCTCCCCCAAATTACTCATCTCCTATCACTAAATTACTTTTTAAAATTGTATATAACATATGACTACTGTCTCCTCACAGAACAGTATACTGTTATTCCATATATATATCCTACATGTTTTTGTCTATATCTTATCCTTCCTTCAGTTCTCTTCTTAAATGTCAATAAAACCTTCCTTGTGCTCCCTCTCATCTAAGACTAGCTGCTATATTTTCCCATACAAAGGAGTAACTCTCCTTTGTAACATTTACTCCACCTGTCCCTTTCCATGTATGATCTATCTATCTGTGAGATCAATGATAATATAATCAATTATAACTATTTTATTCACAGCTGTATTACTTATACAGGTTATCTTCACAGTCAATTAGATGCTTAAGGATATTTTCAATATAAAGATAATTTCTCTTAAAGAATATTTTAAAAAGAGAGATAATTTTAATAATGAATTTAGATCAACATTTAAAATACTGCCATTATTTCTATTAGTTATCTAATGCCTGCACTGAAAAAGAATAACCCAGAGAACCACCTTAAAATTTAACATATAAGATTCTATTGGAATTTATAGATTCTAACACACATTTTGCTATGATGCTGAAAAACACTGTAATTTTTTCGAATAGCATTTATATATGTTACCTACCATATGTGACATTGTGATTTAACTCGGCTCTTCGTAAGGATTCATCAAGAACATCATACATTAATTCACTTGTCCTGTTTAAAAGATATTTTATTTGCAGTAGAATTATAGTATTATAACTCAATAAAACAGTTTTTCAAACTTCTCTCTCTTTAAAACTGAGGATCTACAGAAAAGAAGTGAAAAAAATTTATTTTATGAAGTTACGGAAATTTCACTTCTTCAAGATTCCATTTGCTCTTTTTCATGAGTTTAATTTCCTGTTTTATCAAAGATGACTAGTCAATGGAAAGATATACATAAGTCAACCAGCTCTTTACCTGTACCTAGTGTACAAATCAGGTTTTTGTTTGAACATACTACCTTTCATAATTTTATTTGCAATAAAATATTTCTGCCTGTTTCAAGTTATTATAGTAATATCTCCCACATCCAGATTATTCCAGACAGTATTTTAACCAAATAGTTTTTTTAAAGTATTCAAATACTAGTCTTTCTTTGAGCAGCACTAGGTTTTCTGGGGAAAAAGTTTAACTTTCATTTATGTTAACTATAAAGAAATTGTATTTTGTGAAACAGGTTTATACCACTCCTATGTCTTTATGGTCACTGATTACAGTTCTGGTAACTGGGTTGAGGTAGATACTGTAAGAAAACGCAGTGAAGAAAGAAAGAAAGAAAGAAAAGAAAGAAAGAAAGAGAGAAAGAAAGAAAGAAAGAAAGAAAGAAAGAAAGAAAGAAAGAAAAAGAAAATATAGTGCTTTGTAGAGCACTCTATCTCAAAATCTAGAAAAGTTCTCTGCAAGAGGCTAGTGTGAAACGATGACTTCTCAACCGGCATTTGTCTCTGTTTTACAAATTCAAAAAGCACCAATAGAAAAAAAAACTACCATCAACACAGAATACACACAGTAGTCTTGCAGAGAAACTACACTGTAAAATAAACAAAAAGATCAAAATAACCTGGGGCCATACAAATGACATATGATGTATGTTACATCTTTTTCAGAAAATGTTTTTCTAAATATGCAGCTATAAAAATTTAATTTGAAGTGGATGGACTTTTATTCTGTCTTGACTGAAGTGTAACTATTCTGTGAAATCCAGAACCATATTCTAAAATCCCTCATTTTATTGTGTAAGCACTTTTTCCAGACAATACCACATAGCAGACATTACAATTCACCCCCCAAATTTGGTAATACGACAGCTAGATTACAGTCTAGTTTCTCAATTTTAAAAGCTGATGTCTGGCATAAGAGTCATAATTAACCACATAGAAATATAGAAACATGTGCAGACATGATCAAGCCAAACAGAAATAACCTAAGAAGAAGACTGCTATAAAACAAAAGAAAATATCTAAACAAGCGATATAAAAGAACATAAATATAAGAAGACTTTTCCACTAAATTAACTCTTTCAATTAAATACATTAGAATCCTACTATAAAATACCATTTTTACTTTGCCACACTGGACTAATCGTGTCTTAAGAACTACAAGATTTGTGTTAACATAAAATCTCAGAGTTGGGACAACAAAGGAAAAAATATTCTAATGTTCCATAACATCATAAAAGAGTTTAACTCTTTGTTCATTTTCTTGAGCCTAATTCTATTCAACTGAGCTCTCTGGAGGTAAGCTCTCTCTTTGTACGTTCTTTGTAACTTTGTATGTATTCCCCAAATTCATTTATAAAGGAAAGAAGGAAGATAATGAGTTAATGAATTTAGTAAATACACTAAAAGCCTCTAAAGTTACTTCATGACAATATATTGTCAACAGACCTTTTTAGACTAGTGAAGTCTGAATGCACTACTATGAAATTCGTGATTTTAAAACAGAATTCCAGTGGACTCCCAACTAGAGCTATGCCATAGGATAGGCTGGATTACATAAAATAAAATTATAGCAAACATTTCTAACGTGTGTATCTACTCCCATCACCTCCAGTTTTTTGACCTAGGAATTTAGAGTCAGAAACACAGAAAAAATGACATAGCAATATCAAGAGTGATACAGTCCAGCTAGCTCTCACCAGGAGCTCATAGGCAGATGGACACTGGCATGACACTGACAAGGCATTACTAGGAGCAAAAGCCTAGAATACAATCCCTTTGTAAAGCTAGGCTAAAGAATTAGAAGGTACTGTACTGCATAAAGGAAAACCAGATCTTATAAAGTCAGAACACTGACTAGCAAATATTTTCTTAAGACAGAAACACATCAAGGACTCCAGCCATGGTACTTGCTCTCAAGGGAACTAAAAGACTTATCCTTGAATGGTTCAGGAAAAAAAAAATTTAATATGTGTGCACACATGCACATATATATAGAAAGAGAAAGAATGATAAGACATATGAAAATAATTGATGACTCTAGGTAAAAGGTATAAGGAAGCTTCTTGATCTGTTGTTGGAACTTTCTGGTAAGTCTGAAAAACTATGACAAAATAAGGGCACCTGGGTGACTCAGTCAGTTAAGCGTCTGACTTCAGCTCAGGTCATGATCTCACTGTTCATAAGTTCAAGCCCTGTGTCAGGTTCTGTGCTGACAGCTCAGAGCCTGGAGCCTTCTTTGGGTTCTGTGTCTCCCTCTCTCTCTCTGCCTCTCCCCCACTCGTACTCTCTCTCTCTTTCAAAAAATAAACATTAAAAAAAAAAAGAAAAACTATGAGAAAATAAAAAGTTACAAACAATATGCATAATTGAAAAGACACCATAAAAATTTTAATATAAAGTATTGGCTAAAAGAGTAATTCAGACAAATGAATTAAATGAAACACTCACATCCAACCAGAGGAAGAGTCAGCAAACTACTGTCTCCAGGACTATCCTGGCTGGATGTTTGTATTTGTATGGCTACAGGCTAAGAATGGTTCTTACATTTTTAAATGAGGAAAAAAATAAAAAGAATAATATCTCATGATACATAAAGATTATACAAAATTCAAGTTTTAATGTCCATAAAAAGTTTTTCTGGAATACAGTAGTGCTCATTCCTTACGTATTATCTATGATTGCTTTAAGTTATACAACAGCGGGCTTCAACAGACAACATACAGCCCATAAAGCATCAAATATTTATTATCTGGCCCTTTACAGTAAAGAAAGTTTCCAAATCCCTGAACTAGAATGTTTAAGAAGGCTTCAGGAAAGATATGGAGCTTCAGAGGCACCTTTCCCTATGAGCAGGATTAGATAAGCAGAGAGCCAGGATTATCCCAGCACCTATTATATACTTCTTACAGTGATTTATTTATCATTATTAAGCCAATTAAACATTGGGAGAATCTGACTTATGAAACTTCTAGGTGACAGGCTATCAGGGTATCAAGTTTGCTTAGAATAGTTTACCTTTGATCGTCTTTTCCTAGAAGTCCTAGTATTCTCAAGAGCTGGATTTGTAACCATGGTGCTGGTACACTATGGTAATTGAAATCTACTGGGAGCTTTCCTCCAACTACTTGCTTCAAAATTGTTACAAAACTCCCCGTCAAGTCTTTATATCCAGATGAATTCTCCTATACCCAAAAAACAAAACAAAAAACTTTCTATTAATAATAATCTCTTATCAAATATAAAATAGACCTGGTTTAAATGCCATACAAAATCTAACTTAGGGCATGTTAACTTAGAAGCTGCATGTTCACATTTAATAAAACAGTACTCTAGGGGCACCTGGGTGGCTCAATGGTTAAGCATCCAACTTCAGCTCAGGTCATGATCTCATGGTTCACGAGTTCAAGTCCCACGTCAGGCTCTGTGCTGACAGCTCAGAGCCTGGGGCCTGCTTTGGATTCTGTGTCTCCCACTCTCTCTGCCCCTCCCCAGCTCGCGCTCAGTCTCTCTCTCTCAAAATAAATAAAAACATTAAAAAAAATTTTTTTAATAAAAATAAAACCATACTCTAATGTGTTTAATGTCTTCCATGATGAAACTACCCTGACTACCTGATCCAAAGCTGAATCATCCCCCAAAAGGCTTCCACCATTCACTACTTGTCTCCACACAGAGTCTTATTCACATTTCATAAGTTCTTATAATTATATCTTATATTGAACTTTTGTTAGCCAATACCAGCAATTAAATCAAAAAGTGAAAAAAAGGGCGCCTGGGTGGCTCAGTCAGTTAAGCATCCAACTCTTGATTTCAGCTCAGGTCATGATCTCAGGGTCGTGGGATCAAGCCCCATGTCAGCCTGGGGATGGACTGCTGGGGATGGGGCCTGCTGGGGATTCTCTCTCTCTCCCTCTGCCCCTCTTCCCTGCGCACTCACTCTCTCTCTCTCTAAAAGAAAAAATATATATCTTTTTTTAAAATATAAAAATGTATCTTTTTTAAAAAATAAATAAAAGTCTTAATAAATTAATAAATAAAATAGTTTTTAAAAAGTCTTCATAATATAGAGAAATAGGGTAAGAAGGCAAAAACTGAAATCAGTTTTTTTCCCTTAAACTATATTCTTTCCTATTCTATTCTCCTTATTTCTCACATCCTTTCCCTCACTTCCCATCTCTCTCTCTCTCTCTCTCTCTCTCTCTCTCATACACACAATAAATACATCAATGTGATCATTTATACTGTCTCCACTGTATTTCATCTCCTTAGCACACTTGAACATTGACCCCATTTTTGGCTAATATAACACTATCTTTAAGTCACACATTGAATTAGCAGATGTCCATTAGGCTACTACTAGTGAAGTACTGCCACATGAAGAGATTAACTTAAGTTTGAGATTAACTCAGTTTGCCCTTAGTGCTTATGAACAGTTTCAAACTGCAATTTAAGACCAAAAATAGGGGCGCCTGGTTAAGTGTGGGACTCCTGATTTTGGTTCAGGTCATGATCTCATGGTTTGTGAGATCGAGTCCTGTGTCACGCTGCACTGTCAGTGCAGAGGGATTCTTTCTCTCCCTCTCTCTCTCTCTGCCCCTCTCCCACATGCACTTTCTCTCTCTCAAATAAACAAACATTAAATAATAACAATAATAAATAAATGTGTTCTGGGTGGAAGAGCACAGGGCACAGTCAAGTCTACTCAAACCTCCCAAAATCAGTGCATCTGCCTTTTAAAAATTAATTAACCCTATTGTATTTAAACATACCTGTGTTCCGAATGAGTGTGTTTTGATTATCTATCTGACTAATCTCTTGGACTGGTGAATTTAAATACATATTCCTCAGAATAAACATTAGATTCCTCATCGTAATTTTTATTTCACTATCAACGACACATTTTTGGAAGGGAAATAATAGCTCTTTCAAAGTTTAGTAAACGTTAGAGGAAAAACAAGATTTAATATCAAGTATCTATTTATACCAAATCTATTTTGGAGCATAATGAATAAAAATGAACACAACTTTCAGTTCTGTAACTGTAAATTTAATTCAGTGACATATTCCATTTTGTTTTACAGTACTCATCATGGAATATCTCACATGGAATACAAAGGATTTCAGGCAATGCACTGGGGCTGAATTAGTATAAACTCATATCACCATTTAGAAAATGTTACCATACCATTCGACCTTCCTTCTTCATCTGACACAGTATCAATTTAAGGAGTCAGCAACATAATCTATAGTTTACACACCCTCCACCAGCTCTCCTCATTTCAATAAGCTCTTATGCATCTTATGAAGTCGTATAAAAGTCACTGCTTAAAAAACCACAAATCTGGGGGCACCTGGGTGGCTCAGTCGGTTGAGCGTCCGACTTCGGTTCAAGTCATGATCTCACGGTTCATGAGTTCAGGTCCCACATCGGGCTCTATGCTGACAGCTCAGAGCCTGGAGCCTGCCTCCAATTCTGTGTCTTCCTCCCTCTCTGCCCCTCCCTCACGCGTGCTCTGTCTCACTCTGCCTCTCAAAAATAAAGAAAACTAATAAAAAAATTTTTTTTTTAAAAACCACAAATCTGCAAATTTCAATCACCTTCCATAGCTACCATTTTTCCATGCATCTTTAGTAACACAAAAAACTTAGGCATTTAAAAAAAAGACTAATCCTGTAATGTGCCTACAACTCATGCTATCAACAACTTATAAAAATTACTATTAAAAAGTCAATAATAAAAACCTGACATGTTCATTAAGGATTTTACTGAAAAATGTGAGTTCTTTTTATTCCATAATTACATTTTTCTAATGGCAACTACTCAGTACTTCCTGAAATTTCCAACTTACCTTAATCATCCTAAAGTATATGTGCAAAGAAGCAGCCATGACCCCAACATCTCTGTCACAAAGTGCTTTCCGGAACTTAATATGGATATGCTGTACTTGATTAGGAGCAATGAGATGGAATTTATATAATGCCAGAACAGCTTTTCTTCGTATAATCTCCCTAAAGAGAAAAAATAAAATCTAAACAAACTGTCTGAATTCACAGGCATTTAGTTTGAAAATATTGTACACAAGATGATTTCACAATATCAGCTATTACCTTAATACAAAAAGAAAGAAAGAATTACACACTTATTGTTAATTTCTATATTCTAATCCATCAAACTATAAAAAGTAGTTATCTCTTGGAGGTAAGACCTCAAAAGATTTTAACTGCTCATATTATATATTTCTTTAGGTACAGAATTTTTGGTAACAAGCAAATATTAGTTTTGAAACCAGAACAAACAAGAAAGATAAATAAATTCCTTAATTCCCTAATTCCATTTTTGAAAGCCATCTCTCTAGAAATTGGGAAAAGAATCAACAGTTCAAATCTGTAAGAAGTAACTCTGGCTAGTAATATTATACAGTATATTTATCAATGTTGATATCAATAAATTAATATGTATTATTATATTTTATTATAACATTATTTTATTAATATTTATTATTTTATTTAAAAATTAATAAAATCTCATTAACATTATACCTTTAAAGATTTCTTCTTTTGTACCATGGGCAAGCATACTTGAAATACTTTAGGGAGCCAGGGCAATAGGAAGACTCACATTAAAAATGTCACTCCTCCCCTTTTCCAGCTCATGTTTCAGAAATGTCATTACAACAAAGAGGAAAGTATATGCTAGTCTTACACTTAATTTTTAACAGATAATGTCTAGCACACAAGAAGCAAAATAACAAGTCACTATCTTATGTTCATAATGTAATTTCCAAGTTAGTACATTTCCTTGTTAATTCTCACTCACGCCTATTTCTAAATATATTTGCAGGCAGGCTATGCTGGCAGTGTTCATAACAGCAGCAAATGTCACAAAACTAAAGTATTTACTATTAGGGTTCCTTAATATATATTTCTTTTACCTAAAATCACAGAATCTCCAAACTGAGATTACTCAATGCAATCTTCTGTGTTCCAATCAAGAATACTTTCTATGGGACGCCTGGGTGGCTTAGTAGGTTAAGCATCCGACTCTTGGTTTTGGCTCAGGTCATGATATGGTTTTGTGAATTTGAGCCCCGCATCAGGCTCCATGCTGACAATACAGAGACTGCTTGGGACTCTGTCTCCCTCTCTCTCTGCCCCTCCCTGACTTGTGTTCTCTCTGGCTTTCTCAGAATAAATAAATAAACTTTAAAAAAAAAAAAAAAAAGAATATCTTTTATAAGATTCCTAAAAAATGTCCTCCAGCTTCTGCTAAATTCCATTAAAAAGCAACTCACTACTTTCCTAGGCAAACTATGCCATGATGGAAAATTATTTTGATATGGAAAGAAAAAGTAGGTTAACAACAGATTTGCCAGTAGTATTAATACTATGGTGACTGTAAACTACATCTCAATATATTGCTATTGAGTGTTAACCAATATCAGTTCTGAGAGAGTAGGTAAATGAGGTGAGATGAAAGAATACAAATACTGAACAGGCTCAGGAGTCCCTAGGCCTGGCCCTATGTGGTGGTACTAACAAAAGACATCAAGAGACCTAGATTGGGGCTCTAGGTCTGGCTTGGTGAAACTCAAAAGTCAAGTCCAAGCCACATCTTCTTTGTGACATCCACTAGCATACCTATAGCTCTGACCCATATTTTTCTGCATGGAGTTAGTTATGGCCATAACTACAGAAGCAGAATTTCAAAAAGTCTAACTGGTAGAAGACAGGAGATACCAATATTTGAAATTAGAGCACATGGAAAGCAATAAGGAAAAAATTCAGTTCTCAGAAGGATTTCAAACAAAGGATCAGTAAGTACCATTATCACAAAACAGTGTGGGTATAGAAAAATTACACAAAAATAATGCTATGCTATCATCAGATCAACCTGTAATTATCTAAGAAAAACTAGTATTTTATTTCCAATAATTAATCGTTTACATCCATCATTTGTTCTGAAGACATATTTGACATAAACAAAGCATTAAAACAAGTATGAAAAACTTATGAAGTTATTCCATAATTCTTAGTAAAAGCTATCATTTTAGCCAGAAGTTTCATGGTCCAAAATGTCTTAAAGAATACAAACCATAAGGGGCGCCTGGGTGGCGCAGTCGGTTAAGCGTTCGACTTCAGCCAGGTCACGATCTCACGATCCGTGAGTTCGAGCCCCGCGTCAGGCTCTGGGCTGATGGCTCGGAGCCTGGAGCCTGTTTCCGATTCTGTGTCTCCCTCTCTCTCTGCCCCTCCCCCGTTCATGCTCTGTCTCTGTCTGTCCCATAAATAAATAAAAACGTTGAAAAAAAAAAAATTTAAAAAAAATAAAAAAAAAGAATACAAACCATAAGACAACATTTTTTAATCTTAGAACACTAAAATCACTAGCTTAAAAAAACATATAAAATAAAGAAATGTTGTTATGAGCAACAAAATATTTTTATTAAGAATGTATGTATATTGGGGTACCTGGGTAGCTCAGTTGGTTGAGCATCCAACTTTGGCACAGGTCATGATCTCATGGTTCATGGGTTTGAGCCCCATGTCAGGCTTTGTGCTGACAGTGCAGAGACTGCTTTGGATTCTGTCTCCCTCTCTCTCAGCTCCACCCCACCCTCTCAAAAATAAACACTAAAAAAATTTTAATTAAAAAAAAAAGAATATAAGTATAACTAAAATATTGTAATACAAAAAAAAACAGAAAGAAATAGAAGAAGAAAACAAAAGAAAAGAAAACAAAAAAAAAGAAAAGAAAGAAAAAAGAAAATGATTGCAAACTGTTCCTAGTTCTAAAGGTTATAAAGTTAAGGGGCTTGTCAAAAAAAAAAAAAACAATAAAACAAAATAATTAGTGAAAAGGTAAGTCAAGCTCAAACTGAGGGATGCTGGAAGGAAGGTCGGTAGGGAGATGGGCTAAAGGGTGCTGGGCATTAAATGGGTAACGGGTACTAAGGAGGGCACTTGTGATGAGCACCGGGTGTTATACTAAGTGATTAATCACTGAGTTCTACTTCTGAAACCAATACTACACTATATGTTAACTAACTTGAATTAAAATAAAATCTTTGAAGGAAAAAAAAATTCAAGCTGATAAGGAACAAGTTAAGGAATCTTACAAGGTAAGATTAGCAAAATACTACAAGTTAAGGTTTATTTGGATATATTTTGCTATAAAACAGAATCTGAATGTTACAGTTTTGCCATCAAAGCATCCCCCGTACACTGAAGCTCTGCATTCACAGCACTTGAACCACTCACTGCCAATTTTTTTCCATTATTCCACTTTATCCTCAAAACAACTTTGTGAAAACTAACATATTTCAACCAATCCCACATAGTCAAAGGAAAAACAGGACCACTACTGGTTAGTGGTAGAACTGGGAGGAAAGCCACAGATTCCTGACACCAAACCTCACTGCCTCTTGGTTTAACTTTAGAAAGCTGCCTAACATTTTCCCAAACCCACATAAAATAAGGGGCAATGCTATCAGAGATTTCTGCATTGTATCAGGCAGTCTAAGTCTATCCTCTACCCTGGCAGCATTAAGTTAAAGTTAGAATAAGTTTTTTAGTATAAATTTTTATTTTGAAATATATAGTATAGACACATACCCAAAAAGAATTTACTTACTTAGAATGTTGAAGTTTATCTTCAATTAATGGAAGAACAGCTGGAATCATTTCTCGAGGGAATATCTGGCTGACGACAGTAAGTGCCATGCATACTTCTACCAGGTTAGTGCTCTGCAAGTCCTGACATAATCAGTGAGCAAACAAACATTCAGTGCACATTTTGAAACTAGGTTGAGTTCAATACTGCAATGGCCCTACATACTTTATGGTTTTCTACTAACTTTATAATCAATTTGTACATTCAGGTTTACCTCATATTGTGTAGGAATATCCTACTGTTTCATTTCCCTTAATAGAGTCAATTAAGATAGATATAGCCAAAAAGCAACTGATCCAAAAGGAAACTGTATTTCTGTTCTGACACTGACCCATAGTAGTCTCCTTTACTACAGCGTTTAAAACTTTTCTAAACTAATAACAAAACCAATCTTTGAATTTTTTTTTGTTAATTGAGTAGATGTTTAAAAGGAAGTAATTCTAGATTGTATACAATGCATGTGTTTATATACTTCTATATGCACAAAGTTTATAAATCATTCAAACAGATTTATTTTGGAAACATAAATTTATTTTGGAAAATCCTGAAAAATTTAAGCTACTAGTAACCTTAAAAGAGTATGTAACTTAAAATTCAGAAAGTACCCTATACACATTCACATACACAGAGTCATACATCCAGAAAAACATGGAAAAGCTCAACACTTTGATTACGTTTCATTACTAATTTTGATCCAAAGTTTAACAGGAAAAAACACTGTGTGGATTACACTGTATTTTTATTATCTATAAATTTCAGTTAACCAATTATATTCTATTCTCCTTAAAAATGACTTTTAGAATTTGAAAGACTTCAATTATTCAGTTTGTATCTATATCCTTTTAGAAGAGATCCTGAAGAAAAAGACAGTCAGAAAAGTGGATCTGACTAAAGGTCTGCAGAGCTGCATGACTGCTGTCTTGCTTTTTTTTTAACTAGGCGCCACGCCTAGTGTGGAGCCCAACAGAGGGCTTCAACTCACAATCCTGAGATCAAGACCTGAGTTGAGATCAAGAGTCAGATGCTTAATCCACTGAGCCACCCAGGTGCCCCTGGAGATCTGCTTTTAAAAGAAACAATAATAAGAGCGAGCGGCAGGAGCAACTACTTCCTACTTTAACACAGTGTTCCATTTAACCCTTACAACTTGGCTAAGTTCTATTATAAACTTCATTTTACAAACTCAGAAACTGATCTAAAAGATCTTTCTAAGGCCATTCTGTAAGCCTGGCTTCTTCCAAAAATATCTAACTCAATATGATAGAGGTGAAATGTCAGAAGCCCGCAGGACTAACTTAAGACTTCATACTAACCAACATATAGTACAGTACCTTTACAACTGTATTCACAAGGAGAAGCAACAGCTCATGACTTTCATGTAGAAATAAAGAAACAGCCAAATAACCTATAAAATTTGAGGGGAAAAGTCTCATTATTACCTGCCAAAAATGACTTTTCCCAGGAAAAGTTAAACAAAGCAATAATATATTCCAAAATTTAAGTGTCAAAGATAACAACTACAGGTAACTATAAAAACAGATTGGAAAATATGAAGTTCAAAAACTTCAGGAAGATTTCAGATGTTCTTTATCCTGAAATCTTTCAGAATTGTGTATTTCACAGGATTGTCACCAAAATGGAAAAGAGGCTATATGTACCAACTTAAAGTCTTATAAATGACATTAGAAATATATGCCTTCTATCTTCTGTGCATATCTCTACACAATCAATTAAAACATTACATTTTCTATCTTACAGCCAAAGATAACTATATAAAAATAGTTACTATAGTTACTAGTGAGTTACTGGCTATTTCTTATTATTGAATGAGCTACCTAATACCAACCCGTATGATGTAAATCACATATTAAGCCATACACAATATCTATTTTCTCATTTGGAGATACACTATTGAAGGAATAAGAGTTGTTGAGGAAAGAAACACTGTCTACCACATTAAGTGTACTTGATTTAAATAAGCATTTTTATTTCAATAATATTAAAACATAAAAAAGTACATCTTAGGGTTGAGGAAATACATTAATACTATGACAAATGCCATGTATATGGAATCTAGCTACTCCATGTCATTTTCTTGTCACTCTTCAGATTGAGAACATTTGTTAGACAGTTACTGTGGATCAGTATATTACAAGCCTTACCTCATTCAATCCTCACAACTGTATGAAGTAGGTATAATTATCCCAAAAAGAATAAGGACAAAAAAGGGTAAATGACCACAGTCTATAGCTATTACATGGTGAAGCCAGCACTCAAACCCAGCCAGGAGTTAGTTCATATTTTAATCCCTATGCTGTCCTGTCTCTCCATGGTCTATCCTGAGGCCCTATTCCCTGACACCCATCCTCACTGTGTTTCATTCTTCTCAATTCTTTCGGCTCTTTCATTAGGGATTCTAATGCTAACTGTCCCCATCATGTCTGTGTCTACTGGGAATCATGGGAAACTGTAAGAAATTACCTATTCTCACAACCAAGAAGAAAGGGTATGACCCACAGCAACATCTTCACTAAAGGTCAGAGGAGCAGGGCAAGAGAGAAAAAACAACTAAGCAGGGGCAAGAAAGGAGAAAACCCTAGAAAGCATTTAAAGAAAAAAGTTCTTATCTGATTGCTGAAAACTCATGATCAGCTAAGGTATCACCCACACCCAAGTCACCAAAATCAAGGTATAAGAAGATGAGTAATTTCAAAGACCATATCAAGGAAACCTTAATTCTGTTACAAAGAATATCCTAACTATTGTGACAGTCAGAAAACAGGGAAAAAAATATTCAGTGAACTCAAAAAATGGAAAGGTTCCAGAAAGCAAAGAATAATGACTAGATTATGGAGCATGCTTGATATGAAAGAGTGACATATAGGGTAAGAATACAGGCTTTGATTCATAGAAACTTGGGGTTTACATTCTGGCTCCACTATCTACTAGCTATATGACCTTGGACAAGTGACTTAACCTTTCTGAGCTTCAGTTTTCACCTATCTCATAAGATAAAGCAGCTAACATAATACCTAACTTAATGGGTGCTGAAATTTATATATTCAACAACATATAAAAATAATAAGGTGGGGGCACCTGAGTGGTTCTCTCAGTTAAGCATCCAACATTTGATTCTGGCTCAGGTCATGTTCTCATGGTTTGTGAGTCCGAGCTCAGAGTCAGGCTCTGCACTGACAGCGTGGAGCCTGCTTAGGATTCTCTCCCTCTCTCTCTCTCTGCCCCTCCCTCTCTCTTTCCCTCAAAAATAAGTAAACATTTCACAACTATGTGGATGGAACTAGAGGGTATTATGCTAAGTGAAATTAGTCAGAGAAAGACAAATATCGTATGACTTCACTCACATGAGGACTTTAAGATACAAAAGAGATGAACAGAAGGGAAGGGAAGCAAAAATAATATAAAAACGGGGTGGGGGACAAAATATAAGAGACTCTTATGGAGAACAACCAGAGGGTTACTGGTGGGGTTGTGGGAGGGGGGATGGGCTAAATGGGTAAGGGGCATTAAAGAATCTACTCCTGAAACCATTGTTGCACTATATGCTAACTAACTTGGATGTAAATTAAAAAATAAAATAAAATTTAAAAGTAAATTAAATAAATAAATAAACAAACCTTAAAAAATAATAATAGGGGCACCTGGGTGGCTCAATCATCTGACTTCAGCTCAGGTCATGATCTCGTGGTCTGTGGGTTCGAGTCCTGCATCAGGCTCTGTGCTGACAGCTCAGAGTCTGGAGTCTGCTTTGGATTCTATGTCTCCCTCTCTCTCTGCCCCTCCCCCACTCACGCTCTGTCTCTCTCTCTCTCCCTCTCTCTCAAAAACAAACATTAAAAAAATTAAAAAATAGTAAGTAAATAAAAAGAAGAAGGCATCTCCATCAGAGAAAGCACCAAAGCTAATCTTAGAAATCTCAGGAGAGTTGAAAAGGCAATACTAACACAGTGAAGACATATAGAAGGTTTAAATGATATCTTAAAAAAAACTTATACTCACTAGCACACATAAAAATTGTCTGATACCTGCAGGAATAAGTTCCTCTACTTGGCAATAAAATATTTCCCTAAGATCATGAATCTCAATAAAAATGACTCTGAGGTCTCTATTAAAATAAGCCTCCAGAACTATGAATAACACAGGTACAAGGTTATTCACTGCAACATTATTTACAAGAGAAAAAAAAATAATAACCCACATGTCCACCAATAGGGACCTGATTGAAAAAAATAATGGCCTATCCATCCATCCAAAGAAAATTATGCAACTGTATAAGCGTATGAAGATGTCAAAACAAGGTGTATAATAATCTATATAGCATGTTATCATTTGTGTAAGAGAGAGTTTATGAGTGTGTTCCCATGCATTTGCTTGTTTTGCAAGAAGAAACAATGGAAAGATTAATTACAAACTAATGAAAATGGTTACTTATGGCAGTAAGGAGCAAACTGGGTAAGAGGGACTAGAAATTAAAAGTGAGACTTGTTTGATTATACCTTTTTATAAGGTCTTAACTTTTGAACTTTATATATTTTTAATAATAAAATTAAATTGAAAATGAAAAAAATGGTATGCCAGTCTAAGAAGCACAATATAGCAACAGTCGTACAAAATTACAGCACCAACCACCTAATATTGACTATTGTTTTCAAAATTTCCCTGCCTTTGGGGATCTTAGAATTAGTTCAAGAGCTAAGACATTAATATATGAAAAGATACCACCCAAAGATGATGGTAAAAGCCACCAGAGTGATAAAAGAAGAGTTAAAACTTGATTTGGAATATGAGAAGGGAGACACAACAGAGGACATTCCCTTGGAGGGAAGAATACAATAAATCTAGAAGAGTGAAGTGAGTTTCAGTAAGTAGAATAATGGGTACAGCCAGTCTCAGAATCTTTAGCAAACTATCTCCCTTTCCTATCCCATTATCTGATAGCACAGATATTTGTGAAGAATGCTGGTCCTTGACAACATGACACCATCAACTCCTTTGAATACAGAACATGTTATACTCCTATATGACTCTGAAGTGCTTCCTTCTTGAATTTTGATACACAGCTGAACCTACATGAATAAAGGATTTAAAGGATATTTCCTAAGAGCCCTAAAGGTTGATTAAGGAGACAAACATTTTTAAAAGATACCTCTAATCCTCACAGCTAACATTTGTGAAACTGAGAACAGGATATTTTAAATTATTCAAGTCAATTTCAGTTTTTATTCTATAAAGAAACATTTCTGATCATTAAACTGATGATGTTAGACTTTAAAATCAGCTTTGTGGAGGTATAATTTACACAGAAGAAAATTCGCCCATTTTAAGTGTACAGTTTAATGAATTTGACAAGTATAGATGCTCATCTATCACAAAAACAGGATAGAAGCAGTAAGACTGATTTCACTTACAGGCTTTAAGTTTTTGAAGTGTTCCCTTTTAAAGTTTTGGAAATTACAAGGCAATGTTCTAAAAACACACTATATACCTGCCATTACTCATTTTACACAGTAGCTGGAACTTTAAGAACATTTAGTATTAAAATCTTAAACACATACATACCTACTCTTTTTTCTAAAAGGTTTCCTTGTTGTGCCAACTTGATCGCATGTATGTAGCCAAAGGAAGCATCATATCCAAGCATTTCACAATATATAAGTCTCACCATACACTCCTTCATCATTCTCTGAAAAGCAAATATCCAGTAACCGCATAAACAAATAGAATGTTTTGGTTTTTTTTCATTATGTTGCAATCATTTCACAGAGGAATCCTTTAATCCTAGCACTGAAGAAATAACATACACATATATAATAAATTAATAACCTGAAGTCAAACTTTATAAGTAAAAGTTGCTCCAAAACTTAGCTTACCAACAGTACTGATTTTAGTAAAATTATTTCAACATTTTGTTAGTGGCAACATCAAACAATAAATCAACTGTATCTATTTCTAATTCTAGGTGTACCTGTGAAAAATTTAGTTATAATGGGAGACACCTGGTCCTCAGACAAAATTTCACCCATAGTAATATGACTTGGCTTCTAGAACAGAGCACATCATTTTAATACACTTTGTCAAATGAAGACATCCATAAAATTCCCATAAGTTGGTAATAATTTGTAAAGAAAATAATTTTCATATTTGAAAACCAAATTGCACCTGAACTTTTTCAGAATTATTTTGCTGTACATAATATGCAACAGTTTGTTTTATAGGCATTGTTTTCTTCTTCTTTTTTTAATGTTTGTTTACTTTTTGAGAGAGGGAGAGAGAGAGAGAGAGAGCAAGCGGGGTAAGCACAGACAGAGAGGGAGACACAGAATCCGAAGCAGGCTCCAGACTCCCAGCTGTCAGCAGAGTCCGATGTGGGGCTCGAACCCATGGACCATGAGATCATGACCCGAGCTGAAGTCAGCCGCTCAACCGACTGAGTCACCCAGGCGCCCGTAAAGGCATTCTTTCTAAACAATTCTCAACTAGGAACTGAAGGGTATGATATCATTAATGGTATAGCATTTCTAATTATTTAATTTTTTAACTGGGTCTTTCAATATTTACAACACAAGCTAAAAACCTGTTTTATAATATAATAATTTTTGCATTCTCAATATTTCTAGCAAATTTTAATCATAAATAAAAAATAGAAATAAAATGTGTTTCAAAATAAGCTCACAGACTATTTTAATACCTAAAAATCTTATTAGGTAAATACCCATTTATCTTATTAGGGTTGGTATATTACAAGGTTATTAAATCACAAAATACTTAGAAAACAGTAACATATTTTAAGGTAAGGACATTAGTATTCAGTATTTCATTCATATTTTATATATGAATATCGTATTTATATATTTAAATATGAAGAGCTTTATTTATTTTATTTTACTTTATTTTATTTTATTTTTAATGAAGAGTTTTAGGGTTTTTTTGTTTTTTTTTTTAATTTTTTTTTTTAACGTTTATTTATTTTTGAGACAGAGAGAAACAGAGCATGAACGGGGGAGGGTCAGAGAGAGGGAGACACAGAATCTGAAACAGGTTCCAGGCTCTGAGCTGTCAGCACAGAGCCCGACGCGGGGCTCGAACTCACGGACCGTGAGATCATGACTTGAGCCGAAGTCCTGAGCCACCCAGGCGCCCCTAATGAAGAGTTTTAAAAGAAACCATGGGAAAATCCTTGGAGAATAAGATTTAATTCAGGTCACTTGTGTTTAAGTAATAAAAGTCAAATTTATTAGTGTATTAAGACTACTAAACACTGAAAAAATAAACTTAAAAGATACTGTAAGTTCCTTTCAAAGGCTTCCACATCAATTAGGAGCGAAAGTGTTCATCTAATCCATTAAGTATCATCCCTGGTTTTGTAACATTTTATTTCAGTCTTTCAAAGGTCATCATGAGCTCTATTTAATTAAAATTGTATTGCATACCTTATTATTCTCTTAGTTTTGGAGAAGAAAATCCATTCCTCAATACAGAATTATTTATTTATTTATTTTTTTTTTTTACAATTTCTCTACACAGAGCATCTCAGGGACAGACTACAAAACATGCCCAGAGCTGGACGGCCATAATTACTATAAAATCTTCCTTCAAAAGTTTGGCTCCCTAACTTCTACCTATTTATCTTATTTCTGTGCATACCAGGTGTGCCAATTACAGAAAATGGAAATCAAACAAAGTAAAAGGAGAGAAACCGTTCCTGCTTAACGTTTCTTTTT